CAGAACCCGTGTTTACGACAGCTGGGGTTGAGCAGAGCTGCGTGGCTTCCCGAGCCCCCACGTGTGTTTCTGAGGAGTGGGCTTGCCCCTGGGGTTGCTGGCCACAGCGCCACTGCATCTAGGTTCCAGGTTGGGTCAGCATGAAGGTGCTGCTCTGGGAAATTGGCAAGGACACACAGAGCTTCAGGCCTGGCTGGGGCAGGTCCAAGCCTGGCCATGGGTGATACTCCCTCCTGCCTGGAGGGTGGACACAGGGGTTGGGACCCCTCAGGTCCCGGTGGGGAGGGAGCTGCAGTGTCCAGTGGATGCAGTGAGCATTCCTCAGCATTGGGTCAGCCTCGGCCAGGTTCTGGACCCACCTCATCTGCCTGCCCACTTCCTGATCACGGCTCCTCCATTGGTTCCTGGGCTTTCTGTATTGTTCTCTCAATAAAATGCTCTGCTGGGGCTGGTGAGGGGGAGGCTTCTGGGGTCCCAGGCTCATCTCTGCAGGCCTTGCTGTGGTTGGAGAGAGGGCTCTGGTCTTGCAGGTCCACCCTCCCATCTCTCCACAGCTGCTCTGCCTGTCTCTGGAACAGTGCTGTGCTATGTATCCTTTCACGTAGGAAAAGCACAGTTAACCACTGTGAATCAATACCTCACACCACGCTCTTCACCCACGGAGAATTTAAAGCTAAAATTGAAATTCCTGCCAGATGGCAGCCAGTTTTGACTCTCAGAAATGAAAGCCAAGAAGGGTGGGGGTGGCAGTGTGCAGCCGCCCCATAGGAGCAAGAGGTCCCGCACACTCTGGAGAGCTGGGGTGAGGAGCAGTGGCCTCCTCCAAGCAGCACTGAGGGCCTTTGTGACCAGCTGGGGAGGGAGGTGAGAGGGGGAGGTGGAAACAGTGCAGAGCTCAGGGCTTCTGCCCAGGGAGGTGCACTCTGGGCACGCTGGCCCCACAGTGTTTGCAGGAGTGAGGGGACCGGCATTTGCAGGGCATGCTCCTGCTGCCAGCCAGAGGCACAGCAGAGAAGGGCATGGTGCAGGGGGGGGGGCTGGGCTCCCGGAGTTTCCTGTGGGCTCCCTGAGTCTTCCGCTGCCAGACTCCGACAAATCAGGTTGAGAACCAGTTCTGGACGAGAAGAGCCCAAGGTCACCCCGTAGGTGCTGGCTGGAGGTGTCCCGGGGGAGGCTGCAGGGAGGGACTCAGAGGTGGCCTCAGCCCTCCTTGGCCCCGTGACTTGTAGGGAGTGTGTCCCCCCACGACACTCTCCCCTCTGTAGACCAGCAGGCCCACTCTGGTTCTGCCACCGCGTCTTCGGGCCTTGGCCTGCCCCCCCTCCTGCCCTGCCCCCCCTCACCTGCCATCTTGGCTGGACCTGGGGTGTGGCTGGTGACCCCCTCCTGTCCCACCCATTCTCTTCCTTCTCAGCCGGGAGGGTGGCAGAGGATCAGTCAAGTCAGCAGCCCCTGAATGGGTCCCTGGTCCCTTCTGCACACCCAGGTCTCTGCACTTCAGCTGCTGGCTCTGTTTCCCTCTGAGGTCAAGTGACACTCAGACCCATCTCCCCACTTGTGTCCCCAGGCCTACTCTCCCGCCACATCCTGCTTTGCGGCTCCAGAACCTCTCGGGCCACTGTGGAGTCCCTGATCACCCTCGGTATCTCTAGACTGTTTAAATCCTCTGCCACCCTCCTGGCTGAGCACYGTGACCTGGTCCTGTCTGCTGGGGTTCTGCCAGTCTTCACCAGTGCCAAGCAGGCACCCTGCCTCCTCAGGTTGGGACCCTGAAAGCAAGCCCCAGGCCTGGCTTTCCTGAGGTGGGGCTTGGGGCACCTGCTCATGACCTGCTGGGTCTCAGCCTGCCCCCAGCGGTACCTCCTGGGTCCTCAGGCTTTTGCTCTCCTCAGGTGTCACTTGTGGCTGGTGGGACCACAGGCTGCAGGCTGAGGGGCCACCTATCTGCTCTTGGGGCACATCCTGCACCAGTTGCCAAGCACCCCACACGGGTGAACGAGGCAGCACCTGGAGGAAGACCAAGGTTCAGTGCAGTGCCCACACCTCGCACCCACACCCCATGGGTGCCTGAAGGAGACGATGTTCTGTGACAGGCAGTGCATGCTTGGGACAGGGAAGGGTGCAACCATGCTCCCTCCGTGAGCCCTGGAGGAGCCCAGTGGAGGGCGGGGCTCCATTTGTATGAAGAAGACATACAGCCAGACCCCACACAAACAGGAACCTTGAGAGAGGAGGAGTGGGCCTGAGGAGGCTCTGCCCCAGGAGAATGATGCCCGTGCCCGGGGGGCTGGGGTGTCCCTCAGCCAACACCAAGACCCGCGAGCTGGAGTCCAGGAGGATCGACTGCTACTCACATCCGCAACAACATCAAGGCAAAGAAGAGACCACGACAGACCAATGGTTGTGTCTACTGAGCACCTGCACCAAGAGCATCAGGTGCAAGCTCACAGCAGTGGGCACGTCTGAAGAGGCCACATCGTGAACAGCCGCACAGGGCCCAGCTGCCTGACGTGACTCCTGTCTGGGCCTTGTGCAGGCTTCCTAAGGAAGGACTCCTGTCTAGAGTGGTGACCCGAGGCTCAGCTGGGACTCCTCCGTGATACCGCATGTGTCTGGGCGCATGATGGCCACTGCCTCTCCTCCTCTCTCTGGAGGCTGAGTACCAGCCTTCACTTGAGTTTCCTGCCCAGCCCCTCCAGGGGATGCTCTCAAGGTCCACCTGAAGGGACACCCTGTGGCTCCCCAGAGTCACTGATGACTCAGCAGCAGTGGGCAGGGACATGTGGAGCCTTCCAAATATTTCCATTTCCTCCTGGATATTTTAAAGAGCAGCACTGGAGAGAGGGTTTTTCTCCTGTGGAAAGAAGCCCACTGGACCTGTGGCTCTAAGCGCTCAGGCCAGCGCCACCTAGTGCCCCAAAGCCGCACTGCAGCAGGGGCCCCAGAGCAGGTGTGTAAGTGGCGAGAGGCCACTGCTAGCCAGGAAGCCTCCACCTGCTCAAGGAGATGAGCCCCTCACAAGCCCTGGAGATGGTGGTCTTCAGCTGTGTGTCAGGCAGCACTGGTGAGTAAACCCTTGGAAGGGAGCAGCCTGCTCAACTTGAGACAGAGTCACGTTATTGCCCCGATAAGCCTCCTGTTCACTCCCCGATTCTGGTTCACTCCTGGCAGGGCCTCTCCTGGAGCGTCCCCAATCCCATGTGGTATCAGTGACATCTGTCAAGCCCGAGCTTTGGTCTGAAAGGCTTCTTCATCCCAGAACTCGGAAGTGTAGCAAACAAAGAACAAGCATGGAGCAGCCATGTCAGCCCCCTGGCCTTCAGAGCCCTTCCTTGACCCCTGCTCCCAGGCCACCTCAGTCCAGCCAGAAGATGAGCCCTTGTGCAGAGGGGAAGGGAACTGGGGAGCCACAGCTGGCAAGGGGGTCCAGGCATCCCCTCTAAACCTGCACAGTGGTGGCATCTGGTGGCCAGTGTGTGACCATAGGACGGCCATTGTGCCTGGGAGCAGAGCTTGGTGGCTAAGCACCAATAGCTGGGACTGCAGGGCAGCAGGAAAGGTGCTGCCTCCTCCAGCCTGGAACAGGCAGACCCTACACAGGCTCCTTCGTGCCCATAGCTGACCCTTGGCATCCATGCACCTTTGGTGCCCCAGCTGAGACATCCCCTCTGTGCCCACAGGCAGCGCTTGGCATCCATGCACCTTTGGTGCCCCAGCTGAGACATCCCCTCTGTGCCCACACATGGCTGGGCACTACCTGAGTGTTTTACTAACTTGGCCTTTTCCAGTGAGTTACTGGAAAAGAAAAGGTGCTGGAGTTGGTGCTGATACGCAGGGGTGGAAAGGCCCACCTGACAAGCATCCTGCCTCCATCAGACGCCTGCTGGACCTCAGCAGCTGGCCTAGTCCACTGTACAGATGACCAAGACGATAAGTGTGAAGTGCTGAAAGCATGGCATTCAAGTTCATGTCTGGAAGGCAGTGGGAGAGGTCACTGGAGAACATGGTCAGCCACCAGCCCCAACAGGGACCCTGCTGGCCAGAGGGCAGAGGACGGATCTCCTGGGAGGTTTTTAAGAAGTCCCTAGAAGCACTGAGCTCGAGCACAAGAGCCCTTCTGCTCCCCTGCAGAACAGCCCCTGCCAGTCCTCCAGGTCCAAGGCCAACTCTGCRTCACTGTGCCCGTGCCCAGGAGCTTGAGGAAGAGGCAACTCAAATAATCATATTCGTTTTATAAGATGCACAGAGAAAACTCCATCATCAGGGATTCTGTAACACTTAAAGTCTCTGAGCAGGGAACCAACCTATAACACACACTGTCCAAGACCTCAGGACAAAGTGCACTCCAGGGGGACAGCCAGCCTTGGGCTATGCACAGGACCCAACCAAGAGGGCTCCTTCCTGCCCAGCAGCCCGGGTGTCACAGAGTCTCGAGGCCCAGGGGAGACACTGGTGGCTGCAGGTGGCCCCTGTTCCCTGGACAGTCAGTGTGCAGCCCACCTGCACCTCGCCCATGGCAGAGGCACTGCTCCTTCCCGCTCCACAGCTGCTGTGGGACCAACCCATGTCCTTGGCAGTTCTTAGGTAAATGCAAAACAGAGGACCAGAGTTGATGCCACAGGCCTTTCTCGCCCTGGTGGGCAACACCATGTGTGAGGCAGCTGCACAGCAGACCTAGAGGCTCCCACACCCAGGCCTCACCTGCACAAGGCTCGCCTCTGCACACAGGGACCGTATGTGTCCCACAGCGGCACAGGGGGTCAAGTATGCCAAGAGCAGAGCTGCAGGGCCGGCGGGGCCGAGAGTGGCCGCCCTCCCCTGTGGAACGCGAGCCACGATGGGGCTCAGGTGCAAGGCCCCTGGCAGGGAGCCATGGACAAGGGTGCCCATTGTGCCTCCGCACCACACTCAGGGAGGAGCCTGGGCTCAGGAAGAGCGAAGCCAAGACACGTCACATAGGAGGCCAGACGATCAGGTGGAGCTTTATTCAGTTATGCTACTTAATCACCGCATCCAGAAAGAACTGCACAGACAGTCACCGTGGAGCGCACRTGCTGGGGCTGCTGAAGAGCAGAGCTGGGCAGGTATAGGGCAGGGATGTGCTCACCGTCCATGTGTCAATCCCCCGAAGGGAGCAGACCCTGAAGGAAGCATGAGAGTTGCAACAGAATGTTATCTTTGAAACTCCTTCCCTTCCCGATTCCCCCTGCTGAAGGAGTCAAGAATGCAAATGTCCAGATGGAGTGCCAGACCTCAGGCCTTGGGCATGACACTGGTGTGCCTGGGCATCGTCTAAAACCAGGGCGAGGAGCAGGCACCACTGGGTTCCCTCACGTGCTAAGGAGAAGCACAGACGCACTTCTGGAGGACGCTGTTCCCGCTGCCCTCGTCACGTGCGTACTTAGCTTGAGAAGCACCACGGGCGGCTGAGCACTTGCCTAGGCACTGTCTCTGCAGCAGGCCAGAGATGCTGATGGGCGGCCGGGGGGGCCGGGCCTGGGCGACACCACCGACGGGGGAGCCGCCTCGCGCCGCTCTGCTTGGTCGCCAGGACGCTGGAGCTGGCGAAGCTCCCTTGCAGGGCATCTGCACTGGTGGGACCCTAGCAACACAGACACAAGTAGTCATGAGCACCCGAAGCCTCTAGTGCCACCACCGTTTGAGCACTGACTGCATGTGGCTTTAGAGGCCACCGTGATTCGCAGCATGTCCTGAGTACCCAGGACCTGCAGGTGAGGGGCAGTGGTGGCACACGTGGTGCCTACTGGGCAGCCTCTCAGGGGAGGACTTCTCTGGGCTCAGGTGATCAAGGAGGATCTGGAGAGGAGGCTGTTGGAGCCACTGACAGTCCCCTACACAACCCTCCACTGTACCATGCTGACCAAAGTCAAGAGCTATGCTCCATAGCTTTCCCTAAGGTCACTACTAATAAGCAGCTGAGCAGGAACAGCAGGGGGCCCAGGACCTCTGGGACCATGTGACCACTACCCGCTGGACCCGCTCTCTCACTGAGGCCAACTTGAAGCCTGTGCCCCAGCCCCTCCTGCCTACATTCTATTGGGCCTACCTACTGACAATTCTGGCCCCTTCTCTCTACGGGCCCCCCCACTGTTCCTGCCGCCTCAGTCCTGTTGGCAGCTCACCCCCTGCTCACCCCTCAGCTGCCAAAGGCCTCCAGCTCCACCCTCAGAGTGCAGAAGGCTCTGGAAGCTCATCCATCTCATACTTCGTCTGTGCTCTCCAGGGTGGTGAGCCCCAAACCATGGGTCCCCGGCTGTAGGCCCCGCACCCTGCTGGTGCTGCCCGTTACTGGGCCTCCTGCTCCACTCTGCCCTGCCCTGCTGTGGGCTGACCTCTGGCCCTTGCTGGTCCTACAAGCCCGGCTGCTCGGGGCGGCTTTTCTGGAGCCAGCAGGCCTTTCACAGGCAGCCCATCACCCGCCTTGTCTAACCACCGCTGTCCAGCGTCCTGCCTACATGTTCGTCCCAGAGACCTCAGGCCACTCCGATGTGCTTGCCCTGAGCCTTTCCCAGAAGGCACAGTGCAGGTCTCTACCACAGCTCCTGTCCCTTCCACCTCCTTGAGAGCCCCTGTGTGTCCTTGCCTTGGAGCTGTGAGCAACGGCCTCCTCCTCTAAGGCAGTGACCTCCGTGGTCACCTGCTATACCCAATTCACATGAAGCCTAAATCCCCAGCTTCTCTCCTGCCAGGGCCCACTGTGCTCACCTTCTGTGTCCAGAGGACAGACAGAGAACACGGGGTCTCAGGGTGCGGTGACAGCACCACACAGTCCCACTGGGGACGCAGTGGCAGGCAGCGAGTGCTGAAGACAGTGCTGCGGGGCTGCCTCCTGGGTGGGCAAAGCTTTGCAACTTGTCAGGCAGCCTGGCGTGGACAGCCTCAGGGTCTGAGGGGGCAGAGCGCCCAGGAGTCGCCACATGGGCCAGGCCACATGCTCTCTGCAAGGCGGGCAAGCCAGTGGGCAGTGAGGGGGCACTTGGGCCCAACCAAGGGGCTGGCAGGACAGTGTGTGCCTTGGGAGGCTGGCTACCCTTCCCACACTCAGAAGATATCCGTGTGCCRAGAGCGGGGCAAGCAGGAGACCTGCCTGTCAAGAGGCAGGGCATGGCGGGCTTTCTGTCTACTCAGGGTCAGCAACCTGAGCCCTGGGCAAAAGCCTGCCCCTGTCTCTAGATGAAGCCTACTGAGACAGAGCTCCTAAACCTCCTGGCTGAGGACCTGCCTCGGGCCAGCATGGCCCGGCCGAATCGTGAGCGCACTTCACTGGCCTTCAGTCCCACACACTGCTCCCTCTGTAGGACCAGCCACCTCTCCCTGCCTGATGGTTTTCCTCTTGATGTGGTTTGCCTATTTCTAGGCAGGCAAGAGGCMGAGCTGCCAAGGGGACCTAGGTAGCTCCAGGCTAGCTGTGGGACATTCCTGTGGAACATTGTCCACTTACTGCCATGCCACCTGTGGCCAGTTTCTCCACAGAAAGGCAGGGATGAGAAGGCTCCAGAGAAGCAGAGCATTCACTTCCTGACCTCTGCAGAGAACACCTATGACCCCAGCCCCCTCCCGCAAGGAAGCCCTGTGTGGCCACTGGTGGTTCTTGTGGGGTTCTCAGCAATGGCCAATGCCTCCGTCACACCTCAGCTTCAAACACGCCAGCCACAAAGCAGGGCAGACAGGTTACCTGGCTGGAAACACACGCGAGCAGGAGCCAACCACAGAGTGCTGACTCTAGCAGTAGCCACTCCTCCCAAGTGGGTCACCAGTGACCTTCTTTTGTTCCTATTTCCCCTCCAAACATCATGCACAAGCCGTGCTCAGGACGCTACCTGAGAGCCGCTGCCATGCCCACTTGTCTGGGTGTCAGGCTGGGATGTGGAGGGCCTGGGTAGGAGACGCTGCCTGTGGGGGAAAGACACAAGGTGCTGGAGGGCGGTGCTGCAGGCTGCCTCCTGGGTGGGCAGGCTTTGTGCCTTGCCAGGGAGCCGGGGTGCACCAGGTCCCTGGAGGCCAGGCTTCTCCAGCTGTTGCGAGGCTGATGACAGGCAGCACCACACACCCCCTTCCTGCCCGCCCCCACCCTGAGTGTGCAGCAGCCGGAGTTCCTCCTGACCACAGAAGCAGCAAGTGAAGCTTGTGTGCCTGGGACTCTGTGCTCGTAAGCCCGAGGGAGTCGTGCCTGCCTTCTGCTCCCCTGGAAGTGGGCAAGGGGAACCCGGCAACTCTCCCTCCTTGGGGCGCCTGAGCCTCGGGACACCCTGAGCATGGTGGCCCTGTGTGCTGCAGAGTGGACAGAGGATGCTGGCCCATGGGGCATGAGACAGCTCTGCACTGGGACGGCGTTATCTCTGTTCCCTGGACCCTGAGGCAGCATGGTGACGCTCCCTCAGAAGACCCTGCAGAACAGCCAGGGACCAGGAAGCCAGGACCCTGGTGGGCTGTACCCACCCTTCCATTCTCATGTGGCAGGGCCTGGCTGGTCCACAGGGCCTGCCCCTCCTGGGACAGCCTGCTCTGACTCAGGAACTGCTTGCCTGTGGGCTCCCCTCTCGTGAAAGCCAGCCTGTCCACATTCCCCAGCCCTGACCACTCCAGGCCATTTATCGGACATCCAGGGGCAGCCCACACCCTGGAGCTGCTCAGTCATCAAACCTGCCAATCCCAGCGGTTGGCCTGTTCTGTCTGCCCCACTCGGTCCCTCTCCAAGGAACCAGAGAAAGCCATCTGACAGCCACTGTCCCTCATGGCAGCTGTCCCCCCTTGATCTGCTGGTCTCACTACCATGATTAAAATGGATCCCAGGTACATTTCAACCACACATAATAACAACGGCAGGTAACTGCATGCCACACAACTGCACTGGCTAGCAGGGACCCTGCTGAGATAACTCATCCACACAGGCCCAAGTGGACAACGGCCCTGGGTCACGGGGCCTTTGGACTGAGGAGCAGCCCCATCTCTGTGTGTCTCAGAGACAGCAGCCCCCAGACCAGGGGAGGGCACCAGCAGAGCCCTCTAGACACACCCCAGAGGCAGCAGCACAGACGGCACAGCCAGGAGCTGTGGAGGAAGCTGGCGGCTGGCGTGTCACCACATACCCAGGGCACAGCAAGGTCAGGGCAGCAGGATGGGGTGAKCCTCCCCGGCCTGAGGGGCATGCTGGGAGATCAGGGTAACCACCCTCCCCAAGACACCCTCAAGGTAGGTGTGGGAAGCACTGTCGCAGGCAGTTAGAAGAGGTGTGTTGAGGAGCTGAAGCAAGAAGCACTAGTATTCCCAGAGGCAGGTTTGGCTGCTGCTCCCAGAGCAAGCCTCTGCCATCTTGGGCAGGACCAGGTGCTGCACTCGGCGTCCCCAGAGCAGTGCTCAGGGCTTGGCATCACAATGGGACACTGGACAGACGCGCCTGGCAGCCTGTGGTCATCTGGAGACAGGAGAGTGTGCACATCCAGTTAGCCAATCCATTTGCTAGGCATTGGCTGGGGTGGGGCTGCTGGTGTGTTACAGTAGGAACCAGCAACCTATCTAGAAAACCAAGTGTGAAACTGGAAAAAAACTGTAAAGCAATCAATTTGGGGTTCAACTAAAGGCAGAAGACAGATGGAAAAGCAGTTATTCTTGAAAGCCTCCTACAGTTTTGGGTGAGCAGGGGGCTGTGGAGAGGACAGCAGGCCTGGGCAGGGTGCCAGAGGCCGTGGGCTCAAGGCAGGAGGAAGCACTTCTGTGGGACATGGCCTTAGCTGAGGAGGGCACGGCCAGCCTGGGAAATCTGAAGATCAGAGGAGATGCTCCCCACGCCACAGTGGTGGGCAGGGCCAGCAGGTGTGAACTGGGTCTCCATCCCCACATCTCATCAGGTGCAGCCTTAGGGACACAGCTGCTGAAGCAAGTCTCAGACAAGCCCCTCCTGGCCCCTAACTTCTAAGGCAGAGGAAACCAGGAGGACACAGGACCATGGCAGGTCCACGTCCGCGGCTCAGTGCTGAGCAAGTGCATGGCCCTCACACTCCTGGGTGCAGGGCCTGTGTCAAGCCATCATCTCAACAGGTGCAGAGAAAACATCTGGGAGATCAAGGATCACCCTTGTATAGGCATCTCCAATGCTGAAAATGGGAAGTTTCTCTCCTAAGGCCAGCAACAGGACAGGCAAGAACTGTTTCTCTTACCATTGTTTTGTTTGTTTGTTTAGTAGGAGGTGGGGCCTCCTCAGTTGCCCAGGCTGGCCTTGCACTTGTGACCCTCCTGCCTCAGCTCCAAGGAGCTGGGGTCACAGGCATACCCACTATGCCTGGACTTGCTCTTGCCACTTTTATTTAACATTGTACTGGAGGTTGTTGCTGAGTACTTAGGCAAGAAAAAAAATTATTCGGGTTAAAAAGGAAGAAATAAACCAATTTGTACTTGTGACTAACATGACATAGTATATAGGAAATCCTAGGGAGTCCACAGAATGTCCCTAGATAACAAATGAGCTCAGCAAATTTGTAAGACACAAGATAAAACTACAAAAGTCAGTTGTACTTCCACACACCAGCAATGAAAATCTGAAAAATGAAACTGAAAAAACAATTCCATTTACAATAGTTTTAAAAAGAATAAAATAGGGTTGGGGTTGCAGCTCAATGGTAGAGCACTTGCTTACCATGTGTGAGGCACTGGGTTCGATCCTCAGCACCATATAAAAATAACTAAAATAAAAGTATTGTGTCCATCAACAACAACAAAAAAAGAAATACTTAGGAATAGTTCTTACCAAATAAATGTCAGTTTTCTTCACTGAAAACTACAAAACATAGCTAAAATTAAAGGACCCCAAAAGGGGAGGACAGYCAATGTTCATGGACCGGAAGACCTAATATCTTAGGATGGCAGTACTCTTAAAGTTCGTGTTCAGAGTCCATAAATCTCTCACCCAGACACCCACCCCTTCTTAGCAGAAACGAATAGGCTGATCCTAAAACTCACAAGGAAGTGCAAGGAACTCAGAATAGCCAGAGCAATCTTGAAAAAGAACACTATTTCAAAAAATTATGACAAAGTTATAGTAAGCAAAAGACCAAATTAAATGACGATAAACTAAACAAAGAGCACCCACAACCATTAAAGCAGTAAGAGGAAAGCAAGTCATCATGCACAGGAGTGCAACTGAGTGGTGGCCGGCCCCTCTTCAGAAGGAGCAGAAGTGGAGGTGATGCTCACAAAGCACCTCACACAGCTGCCACTTGGTCCACTCAGTGAAAGCATCCTCAAGGTGGAGACAAATGGAAGCTATTCCAAGATGAACAGAAACTGAAAGACCTAATGCTAGCCAATCTTACCTATGAGAAATAAAAAAGTGCTTCAGCCAAATCTGCAGGACGCAAGGTAGAACCTCAGAAGTGGCAGATGTGCTGCAGATGTGAGGCATGCATGTGTGTGCACGTGCACGCGTGTGTACACGTGTGTGTGTGTATTTGCATGTGTTTCCAAAGTTTTAAGGAATGTAAGTTTGTTTAATTAGAGAATAATTGCAGCACTGCCCTGTTGAGCTTGGAACACATAAATCACACATACACATGCACATACATGTCTTAGGAAGGAGGGAAGGGGAAGCGGGCGATGCTGTGCTGGAGCACCCCGCTGCTCCACCTGAGTTAGCCCAGCATTGACCTTGCACATACTGTGGCAAATTTAAGATGCATGATACAATCCCTGGGAAAATCACCAAGAAAGTAATACAATCCACAGTTAAAAGAGCAGAGGAGGAATTAAAATGTGCACTTGTCGGCCTGGGCGGCATGACAGAACACCAAGCCTGGGTGCTTCAACAACCATGATTTGTTTTTCACAGTTCTAGAGACTAAGAAGTCCAAGATGAAGGTGCTGGATGATTTGGTTTCAGGTGGCTAAAACTGTCTGATTCACAGCCTTTTCCGCTCTCAGGTGAGGTTTTGTTTTTCTGAGCTGGGGGTCAACTTCAGGGCCTCATGTAAAATGAAAAAGTGCTTCAGCCAAATCTGGAGGACGGAAGGTGAACCTCAGAAGTGGCAGATGTGCTGCAGACATGCTAGGCAAGCACTTCACTGAGCCACACCACCATCGCCTTAGCCCCTTGAGTGCTTGTAAACAGAGTGAGCTGTCTGGTGAGCACTTCAGTGCACCATCCAGGGCCTGAAGCTCCTTCACTCCCTGGTGCAGCATCTCCACCACTGTCTCCAGGACTCTTCCTCTTGCAAAGCTGAAACTCCATCCCCATAAGGACTGACTCTCTCATTTTGCTGAGCCCCTCGTGCCCACCACTCTGTGCAGTCTGTCCTGTGACTGCTCCTGCACTCGGCACAGTGCCCTTGGAGTCCATCCACACAGGAGCATGCGTCAGAACTGGCTTTCTCTTAAGGCTGGGTGGTACTCCACCCTATGCAATGCCAAGTCTGTTCATCCATCTTCTGTTGGCGGACACACAGGCTGCTTCCAGGCATTAGGCTGTGCCTACTGTGCTGGAAACCTGAGTGGGCGGCATCTCAGCCAGACCCAGGCACAGGAGTGGACGCAGCCACCACAACTGCGTGGAGTTCCATTCTGTGGCATCACCTCATCTTCCTGCCAGCRTGGACAAGTGCCCGGCTTCTTCCACACCTTCACCAGCACTTGATACACGTGTTTCTGAAACAGCAGTCCAGGAGGCGGGAGGTCTCTCTCACTACAATTTGGTTTGCATTCCCTGCGAGTCAGCGATGGGCATCTTATGTGCTACTGGCTGTCTGTATTTCTTATTAGCCCACTAAGTCCTTTGCTCACTTTTGAACACTTTTGTTGCTGTTGTCCTTTATATATTCTGGGTCTTAATCTCTTACTAACTATGATGTACAAATATTTTCTCCCATTTTGTGGGTTGCCTTTTTTAAAAAAATCTATTTTTAGTT